ATTTTCTAGTAAAAGAAAATATAAAAATTATTTTATTGTATAATTATTTACAAAATCATTTAAGGAAAGACATACATATAAAAAGACCAAAAAGATGCCTAATTTTTATCTTTTTTGCAAAAACTATTAACTTTATTCAAGATTTGATTTCAAACAAAGTTTTGATCAATATATCTTACAGTATTGGACAAAGTTGCTGAAATCTGGCTCCTACCTCGCTTGAAAATTCAATTAATATACTTACGTACTTTCTTATTTATTTATTTAAGAATTTATTATTATTTATTATTATTATTTATTATTATTATTTAAGAACATGGTGCTGCAGCAACGTTGCTACGTTACATTCGTGACATGAAGAACAATAAGAGAATTGTTATTACGTAAGTAAAACAATAAATAATGTTTGCTATTTTTTAACATATTTTATATCGTTTCTTCAAAAAAAGACATATATCGATAAAGAAATATAACAATGCATAATTTCATACAAAATTAGTTTTAATATTTATTTAAAATTTAGTGATGCAGTAATTGCGCACAAAGTTTTATAATATTATTAACAATGATATGATAAGTAAGGATTTTTTATCTTAACTGACATCAGCACCTTTGCTCTGTTAGGAAGAGAACGCAATGTTAAAATGTATCAGTTTTCTTTTTAATTGGCTTCAAGTAGGGAATGCAATAAAGAAGACGACAAGAAGCGATCAATTCAACTTAGATGTTCCCACTATTATTTTAAAGAAAGAAAGAGAGAGAGAGAGAGAGAGAGAGAGAGAGAGAGAGAGACCAATTGCATCAATCTATCTCTTTTCTTTTAAAACCGATAATAACGATTAATTGAAATACGCAATCTATTATCTTTATTAGGTATTTTTTATGCATAACGCATAATTCATAATTTTTTATGAATATTTACACAATAAATAAATCTGATTTAAAACACTTATAAGCGATCTTAAATTCTAAGAATATATATAAGGCATTAATAAATCTTAACATACTCCGTCCAGAGTAAGCACGGTTGCCAATTCTCCGACTATAAACATTTAACATTTTTTAACATTTTTTTAAGGAATGCATTACAATATAATACCAATGGTAATTTTTAAAGTAGCAATTGTTGATGTTCGGCAAGATAAATAAAATCTCCGGTTTTTAAAAAGAGAAAACTGATGAGCATAAGTTAAATATTGATAACCCTCAGATTTTTTATTAAAACTATTTAATATCTTAGTTACAAAAAAAAGTAATAAATAAAATAATAATTTATGATATCATTTGTAGATACATAATTATGATACATGATGCAATATTGGTACATTAAGTCTTCTTTTTACAATAATAATTTTATAAGTTTTTAATCTTGTTATGATATACACACTATTTAATAAATAAAACAAATAAAAATACTGTGACTCACCGATGTTTTGTGATGTAATGATCAAGTCATTTAAAATCGACACGGAGCGCGCCAATAATATGTTTTTACATACACGCAATTATAACGTAATAAAATTATGTAATGTATTTTGCTTTTTGAAGTGTAAAGACAAAATTTCTATTTTATTTACTCGTAACTCAAAATTTATTGATGCGTAATTCAAAATTTATTTTGCTAAGAAAAAGTTATTTTTAAATTAACCAAATCATTGAAAATAAAAAGTTACAGACATCTCATATTTAAAAAAATTACTTACGTGATATTTGTATATGTTGCATTTAGAAAATTTAATGTACACATTATATCTTAAAACATATTGTAATATATTTAAATATATTCTATACATAATTTATGTGTGTTTTCAATATTCATAATCAAATGTATATATCAAATTTTACCTTATATTTCTGCATATCTTACACAAATTTTTTTATTAAATAAAATCTATATAAAGTGAAATGTACGGTTTATTGCAGTCATTTAATAGTCTCAAATATCATAATTTTTAACTTATTTATAACTTATATTTATAACTTATAACTGTGAAGCAATGACTCGATTAAGTATCGCGTTGATCATTACTATAATAAATGTACTATGCGTTCTTGCAGAAGAGAAACTTTACTCTGATGAATTCGATAATATACTTTACTCTGATAACTTTACTCTGATGAATATCGATAATATCGATAATATTCAAACAGTTTTTAACGATAAAGATTTAATAGAAGGCTATTACAATTGCTTTATGGAAACAGGATCATGTAAGACACAGAGAGCACACACAGCAGAGATTTTTTATAGGTATTTCTGTACTATTATCAAATTATTTTTTTTTGGTGAAGAATTTTTTAGTTAAAACAAAATTTTTTAACGTAGAAGTATTTATATAGTTTGCAAACCACTTACAATGCCAAATAAAAAATTCTTTCAACGAACTAAACATCAGAAATAAACAAGAACTCCTCTATTACTTACAAGCTTTATTTTAATAAAAATTGCTTAATTATAAATGTATATAATTTTTAAGAATTGAAAAAAGTTCAGCAAAAATGATGATTGAAGCAATGATGTACGCGACAAATATTTTACAAAACCGAATTTGCTTCTGAATTAATTTGTCATACAAAAAAATAATGCAGCAGAAATAAAAAAGTTTTTTGAATTTCTTATCCTTTAATTCTCGTATTTAGATTATATAAATTTATTAATCAGAAATGAAATTAATTACTAGAATAAATATATATAAATCTTCTCGGTTTTAAAGATTCAGTGAAGCCTTTCCAAACTAAATGCAAGAAATGTACTGAAAAGCAAAAAGTAATAATTGAAAAAGGTATTAAGTGATTTCAAATGAATCTGAAAAATAGAGATAGAATAATTACGAAAACTTTAGAAGATACGAAAAAAAGATCTGCTCAAACATAACTGCTGATAACACAAATAAACACAAATAAATAATAGATCTCGAAACGCTGTATTCGAATTTTCCCGATAAATTAATGTGATACAATAATTTATAATTAATTATAATTTACAATCTGATAAATTAAATAATATTTGTAAAGGACATCTAGTGGAATTAGAAAGACATTTTACAAATTATATTGGCTAACACTTTGAAATTCATTTAACAATTTGTATTAATAGGAATGCTACAAAAATAAATTGTATTACTTTACAAATATTTATAGCTAGAAGAGAGAAGAATTTTTCAATAAAAAAGATATTATAAAGAACATTTACAATATAATATGATTAACTACAAAAATCATAAATCATAAATAAAATAAATGATTGTCAAACTTAGGTGTTTCAAATATAATACATCATATATTCTTTATTAAATCAAATTTATTTCAGAGATGATTGCGCGCCGATAACATTCGAACTTTCAATACACAATCAGTCTGAAACGCTAATAATCCTTCTTAAATTAAGGTGAAAACATACGATGCTCAATTTTTTGAATGATAGCATACCTGCTCTGATGCATGAACGAATTCTGCATATGTACGTTGTATATATATATGATTTTTTTAACGTTTATGTACAGATCGAGTATCATATGATTCCATCTTTAGATTAGAAAGAAAGAATTTTAGAAAAAAAAATCTTCCTTTCTTTTTTTCTTTCTAATTTAGGGGATATCTAATTTAGGAGATATTATTAATGTTTCAGACTGATTGTATTGAAAGTCTGAATATTATCGCGCAATCATTTCTGAAATAAATAAATTTAATTTAATTAAATAATCGTCAGTTTTACATGTAACTCCATTTAATTAGATTCGTGTTCGCCGAATTGAAATTATAAATATCTAACATCCTAGCTGTTTATTACAATCATCCTCCCCATTATCAATCTAATAAATTTCAAGAAATAACAAAAAATAGAGCATGAAATATCATACCATTTAATTATTACACATTAAAATTATATTTGTAAATCAGTTTTTTTAATTAACGATGATCTCGATTTTAAGGATATTTAACAAAGATTTTCAAACTAAATGCAAGAGCAAGAAATATATTAAAAAAGAAGTAAAGAAGAGTATAAAGTATAAGAATGATACTCAAAGAATAAATCCAATAATTGAAAATTAATAATTAATTGCGAAGACAACGCGCCAGCAGTATGTTGAAAAAATAAATATATACATATACAAGGAATGATAATCCAATTATTTTCAAATTCTCATACTTCTAAAAGATTTATATATATATCAGAAGACGTTTAACTCTAAAATTTTTAATTTAACTGTGTTAAATGTACAATATTTCTACATTATAATTTAGAAATAATTTTTATGAGCACAATTATATTTTAAAATATACAATAACTAAAATCTTTTTCTCAATTATTATAGTCAATTCTTTCTAAATTTAATTCGACAAATAAGTATATTGCCAGATAATTATTGTTTTGTGTTTCAAAATATTATATCGAAATTAATATAGCATGAGTAATTATTAAAATTTTAAAAAGATTAGAGTTTTTATATCTGCTTTTGTAAATATCTGTCATAGTATAATGAAATTACTTCAAGGATGTATTGATGTAATCTATCTATATAGATTTCCTAAAATTTAGATCACGAAGATCTTTTTGAGTTACTGTAATTCAAAAATTGTTAATCAATTGTGTTAATTTTTATTAAAAAAGATTAATTCTAAATTATCATTTATAAAAACAAATATTATTAAATATAGTAGGTAAAACATTAAATAAAACATTAAAAAAATGTC